ACAAGTGACTTATGAGAGGGTTCTCATTGTCCCCTCCGTCCTAGCTGACCTTGGAGGTCAAAGGCCAAGATACTCCATTTCTTCTTTGACTCTCTTACCCACACTGGTGTAGGCGCCCAAGCTCTGCTGAACACCGAGAAGGACAGCCTCACCAACCTTGTCATTTTAAATCTGTGTCACAGTTAGGTAAAGCTTAGACAATTTGAAACAACCCAACAGTTTTACACAAATCTTGATTTTGCTGTGACTTGGTTTCCCCAATTAGTTAAAGTCTAATGCAGCAAAAATGTAGATAATTAGCTGGGCAGTGAGGCACACACCTTTAATCCCAGCACGCAGGAGTTCAAGTCTACAGAGCAAGATCCAGGACAGGCACCAAAGCTACACAGAGAAACCCTGTCTCAGAAAAACAAAACAAAACAAAACAAAAAAACAAAAACAAAAAGCAAAAAACAAAAAAAGTAGATAATTATCTGGATTAGACATACACTTTTGTTTTTTAAAGCCAGTTTTTGCAAATATTATCACAAGTTGATCAGTATAATGTTGTGGAATATTTCTTTAATTATGCAAAGATGTGTTGCATTTATTTATGTTGTGGAATATTTCTTTAATTATGCAAATATGTGTTGCTGTTTTACCTTGTCTGCCTAAGGCAACTGATTGGTCTAATAGAAGCTTAATGCCAACTGCAAGGGAGGAGGTATAGGCGGGACTTCTGGGCAGAGAAAGTAAGGAGGAGGAGGAATTTAAACTTGGGGGAAGAAAGAAAAAGAGGTTAAATTAAGTTAAAAGAGCTAGTGGGACAAGCTTAAGCTAAAGCTGAGCATTCATAACTAATAATAAGTCTACATGTCTTTATTTGGGAGCTGGTTGGTGGCCCAAAGAAAATTCTAACTACAGTATAACCTTGGGGTTTTTTTTTTTCTAAAGATTTATTTATTTTATTTATTACTTATTATTTTATTTTATTTGTTTAAGTATTTTGCTTGCATGTATGTAGGTGCACCATAAGCATGCTTCATGTCTGCGGAGGTCAGACCAGGGCTTCTGATCCCCTGGAAGCAGAGTTGTGGATGGTTGTGAGCCATCATGTGGATGCTGGGAGTCAAACCTAGGTCCTCTATAAGGGCAGCCAGTGCCTTTAACAGCTAAGCCATCCTTGCAATCCATGATTGGTTAGAGTTTAATAAACTCTAACCATCCAACCTATAGATCATCTTTGTACAGTTTATTCAGTCTCCCCGGGACTTGGCTTTAGGCTTTCACTGTTTGGCTCCCTCGCTTATTTTTCATTCTTAGAATAAAATCCTTTCTTTCTTTTTTTTTTTTTTTACCATAAAAAAATCCACCGGGCGGTGGTGGTGCACGCCTTTAGTCCCAGCACTTGGGAGGCAGAGCCAGGCGGATCTCTGTGAGTTCGAGGCCAGCCTGGTCTCCAAGGCAAGTTCCAGGAAAGGCGCAAAGCTACACAGAGAAACCCTGTCTCGAAAAACCAAGAAAAAAAAAATCCACCCTTGTCCAAAATATTCCCATTTCTTTTTTACCCCTTTAACAAAAATATGACCTTATACTTAGATTATTCCCAACAATTCTCTCATACCCACTCACTGTCTCTTTCTTATTTCATTTCTTAATAACTGTCAAATCCAAATAACATACACGGCACCTTATAACAAATTAAGATTACCTGTACAATTTTTTTATTTTATTTTCAGGACAGGGTTTCTCTGCCCTGGCTGTCCTGGAACTCGCTCTGTAGATCAGGCTGGCCTCGAACTCACAGAGACCCATCTGCCTCTACTCCCCAGGGCTGGGATTAAAGGTGTGTGCCACTACCACCACCCTGCTGCACACCTACTTTTAACCACCAAACTTTTTTCTTTGGAAGTCTTAAGCAAGCCTTTTCTTTGCTCCAATTTTTACTTTTCTTTCTCCCCCTGGTTAGAAAATATATATATATATATTCTAGCAAGAACCTTGACATATTATCAAAATGACCTTGACGCTGGGGACTACAACCTTGCAAACAAGAAATGGCAGAAAAGAAAGCACATCCAGAGACAAAAAAAAAAAAAAAATCTGCATGTTAACTCTGTAATTGAAATTTTAGATGAGAAAGACATTTATTAATGTATTTTAATTCTCACTGATAGGTGGGTATTATTTCTCATTTTCTTTCTTTCTTTGTTTTTGTTTTTTGAGATGGGATTTCTCTGTGTAGTTTTGGTGCCTGTCCTGGAGCTCACTCTGTAGATCAGGCTGGCCTCGAACTCACAGAGCTCTGCTTCCCAAATGCTGAGATTAAAGGTGGGTGCCACCACCACCTGGCTCCAACCCCCATTTCTAACTGCTTCTTCTTCTTGTTGTTGTTGTTCTTCCTTTGTTTTTTTGTTTTTTTTTTTTGAGACAGGGTTTCTCTGTGTAGTTTTGGTACCTGTCCTGGGTCTCACTCTGTAGTCCAGGCTGGCCTTGAACTCACAGAGATCTGCTTGGCTCTGCCTCCCAAATGCTGGGATTAAAGGTGTGCGCCACCACTGCCCCAGCTATTTCTTGTTTTCTAAGACAGGACATTGGCTCTTGGAATGCCCCGGTCCCTCCATTTTAACAGTGGATTTCTTCTTCCTCCCTAAAGTCTCTCTTTGGTCTTACTCCCTTTGAGGCTTCTCTGGTGATTTGGACCTTGACTTCCTGGAGCCTTGCCTACCCTCATTAGTCTGATTTATGGTTGTCAACAGTATCTAAGCTTTTGCTGTGTCTTTCCTTGACCCTTCTTGGACAGACCTTTTGCGTGGCTCAGAATAACTCTGTTCCCATCTCTTTAGCCCTCCATCTTTTCTCATTTTTTTCAGTCTGTCTGCTCAGTGGTTAGTTACAAAGTGTAATTTTAGCATCCCTTATCCCAAAGACTCTTTCATGTTTAATCTCAAGTATTTTTTCATCTGACTCTTAAGCCTTTTTAGGAACACTGTGGGCTCATCTTCTTTTCCTATCTACTAAGGCTTCTCTTACCTAATGACCCCTTGGTGGTGGCAGCCATTGTAACTGAAGCCCAATCTATTTCTATACTGTCCAGAGCTTTCCTTGAGACAGCCAACACCTGTGAAGTTCCTACAACACACCATCTGTGACTTTGCACGTCTTATGTCCTCCACCTAGGATATTCTTTCCCAGGCAAATGGGTTGGCTCTCTTGTCCATTTTAGATCTTGGCTTAAACGTCACATTATCAGGGAAGCTGTCTCTATCACTCCTTTAAAAAAGAGAAACCTCTTAATTCCGCTCTACTTCCTGTTTATATATCTCCTATGTGACAAACTGTTAGGTGTGGCTGGTGGCTCCACTCGATACTGCTAAGTCATTGACTAGAAGAGTTTTTTTTTTTTTTTTTTTT